TTACTTTATTCGTTTGTACTTTTCTTAAATTAAGCTTGAAACGTTCAAATATTAATCAGTAGCGATAGACGTAAGAGAAGCAACTACCCGCTGATATTAACCTCAGCCAGTGACATCTGACAACCAAAGTAAATATACAAGCACGCAGGCAGGCCGTTTCTCATGTTATCAAAAGAAACAGAAGTTTAATATGCTGATTTAATATATGATTTAATATAAAGAATGGTATAGTAGTTAATAGGTGCGTTTATAAGAATATAACTATCCATTTTCTTTTTTTACTGAGATTTCAGCTTATACAAGGCATAAGGTCCCCTCAAATTAAAGGGTAGATTAGGGACTAGGATAAAATGGGTTGACTATGGTTTCAAGTTTATACCCGTCTGCAGTTTTTTCGACAAAGAGAAAGTTTCGGGGAAGAATTTGTGTGAGTGGAACTTGTTTTTTTTTTGTTTTTTTTTTTGTTTTTTTTTATAAAAAAAAATAACTATCCATGAATATTTCCTGTTGGTTTTTGTGAAGGTCTGAATTGAGGAGGTTTCTGTTGGATCGCTAAAAAAAAAGAGCATAGCATGATTACAAAGTTGATGAAAACAAAATTTTCCGTCTCAAACTTTTTAGAGGAAAAGATCAAAGTATTTTTTACTTATTTTTTGAAATTTTTCCTTCTTTTTAGAACATTGTAAATTTTGATTAAAAAGACCTTGTTTCTCTTTTTATCAGGATAAATAAACATTTTGGGTTTTTTTTTGACTATGGAAAACTTGCAAAAATGAAAATAATTGTCGGATTTTATAGAAACTATTTCAAATGATGGAACTTATTTCGTCATTTTTTTCAAAGTCATCTCAGAAATTTTTTTTCCATTTTCGCTCTAACAATTGTACGAAAACTCTATAATTTCAATTCCGAGGAGTTTAGTGATTATATTGTGTTAAAAGCACAATGCTTTGAAACAAAATCATGTTTTTGTTTTTTTTTTTTTGAAAATCGTCTCTTGTAACATACAAAACTCAATAAAACAAAAATATTATTTAATTTCAAAAAGCTTTTAATTGCTTTTATTTAAAAAAATCAAATTGGCAAAAAGATATTTCGATGAAAATGAATTTTTAAAACAATTACCTACAATTATTTTTTATTTCTGCAACCCATTTATGTTGTTAATTCTTCTAAAATTATGGAAAATATGTCCTTATTACAAACTAATGGTTTCGTATATTAAAAAAAATTAATTTGTCAATAATGTGCTGCGAAGTTTGGTACGTGCAATAAAAAAATAACGTCACGGGATTAGTTTCTGTCTAGTAAGTGTTGTTCTTGCTGTATAGCCCCTTAATTTAGCAAACTGTTCCTGCTGAAAACTGGTTAAAATAGGGACTTTCAAATCTGTCCTGTAATGTTTGGTTGAAATTGGTTGAAAATGATTATATGTAAACGTTCAGAACCTGGGTTTTATAATAAGTAAGATTCACATTTTGCCTCTAGAAAACTAAAAACAATCATTTACACCCCCTTTCAGAAAATACCTAATTTCATGGGATTCAGATAAACTTTCCTGAATTTTTCCAGATAAGTCATTTATATATAATATATAATAAAAACGACAGAAATGGGGATAGAAATTTTTTATAATAGCAAATCTGAATTGGTTTAGAGGGGGTAAGGACGCAGTACTTGTATCTTAAAAAGTATTTATAATTTCCATACCCCCAAACTTTTTTTGGTATGTACTTTAAAAAAAAAGAAATGGCAAAATTTTTTACTTTAAATAATTGCTTTGTCCATTCTATTCTTCCACGAGAACTTGAATATCAATCAATAATTTATAGACACAGCACTTGTCAGATGTTGAGAGGATCGAAGAAAGTAGGTAAAAAGTTTCTTTCAAAATATTTTAAATAAACTTCAAATTTTCTAAATTTCTTCGAATGTATAATTAATTTTTAAACGAATTTTAATTTACTTTATTTTTAAAATTTCAAAAATATGGCGATATAGCGTTTGTTCGTTATTTTGTAAACAAGTTTTTTAACTAAAATTTATATATATATTTATACTATTTCTTCTCAATAATGAAATATACTTTTATCATGAAAAAAAAACAATTTTTCATGCTATATTAGATTTTCTTGAAATAAAAACCTAGGTTAACTGGTGGGAAAATCTGCCATGATTATAAAGTTCTACATAACATCCCCCCCACCAAGCCAAATTAAAAATAAATGAATAATCAAAACGACAGAAAAGCTTGTTAAGAAGTGGTTTATGGTAAGGACGATACAAAAATATTCTACCATCCCTCACATGGAAATCCGTATTTGCTTTCTTGCCACAAAATAAATATATAATCAACAGCAGGAATAATGTTTAACTTTCATTTTATGCATTATATATATATATATATATATATATATACACAACAATTTTCTGTATTAGAAAAAAAAGTCCCTGATGAAAACATTGTAGTAATCTCGAAAGTAATCGGAGTAAAATAAATATATAACAACATGGTAATTTTCTTTCAGTGCTTTATTATGGGTACTAAAAACATGTTCGTAAGTGCGAAAGGATCCTATTAAAAATAAGTAGATAAAACTTGTCTAAATTATCTAATGAAACATATCACCAATATATAGGTTATATATATATATATATATGCGGTATATGCAGGAATATCTTTTATACAATTTTCATCAAAAAGCAAGATACTTCAGTGAAGTTTTTGATTTAATTTTTCTTATATTTTTTTCTTTTCTGGACATAGAACATGTAGATATTGTCCGAAAGTTCTATATGTCCGAGAACTTTCGTCTATAGTTTTAGCCATTATCACAGATGATTATATTTTTACTTTTAACTGAATGTATGGATCGTTATATGTATACATCTAGAGTTATACGAATGCTTTATTATAGGATGAACTATAAATTCGTTCACAATGTTCTAACCATGCTTGAAAAATAAAAGAGTCATATAACTCTATTTTATATTAGCTTTATTTTACAAACATGGTCAGCATATTGTCTTGAGAATTATTACAAGTAAGACACTTTATATCTTTATTTTCTCACTGCTTGTTGTTGTATATATGTGTGATAATTTCTCTGAGGGACAGGTGTAAGTATTTATATATGATCTTCTGTATGACAGCCGTATAAATATCTATTTGGGAACAAAGAATATTTTACATTCCTTTTCTTTCAGATATTCAATTCGGTCCGGTCACGTTGCAAATACCCCGTTGAATTTTGTTGAGAATCTCGTGATATATAGCAGGAGCACCGGTCTGAATATGACAGCAATATTCAATATAACGATGAATATTAGATTTATAAATGTGTAAGATGGAAAACTTCTCTCGCATGACACCGTGAAACAACATCCTTTAATATGGAAAACCAACACACATTCAAGATTTTAGCATGAACTTTTAATAATCCAGCCTTTGGCAGCTAGTGTGGCTTGGTCTGTATATTAGCAACTGCCCTATAAACCAAACTTATGCGTAAACACAAAACCAGAACGAAGAGCCGTCGGTCTCACCGATACTGGAAATGGTTAGAGTGTCCATCGTATTCATAAAGAAGTGAGAAAGAGAGATTGAAAACAACATTTTCAGTTTTTCACTCCCTTCAAAGCATGCAGAGTGTAAATAATAAAGGAAAATACAGATTTCCATCTTCGTTTTTGAATTATATGAATGTATTTCGTGTTGGTTCTCGGTTCGACTTAATTGATTTTCCCAGACAACTAGGCGATCGAAGGAAGTAATTTGCCTGTTAATGAAAGGCTGGCTATTCTTTAACGCAACGAATTCCGGAGCTGGAAAAAAGACTTCAAGTGAATGAACGCAAAATATGCATTTCATCATTTCGAGCAAGTCCAAAGCACAAATGACCAGTCCAGAGATAAAACATGCATTCAATTCATGTATTTCGTCTGGTGCTTCAATTATGTATTTAGAAAATCTGGATATAATAATAATAATGATAATCAACAATATTACCTGTTCTGATCTCCTGGCATCTCGTCTTTCGTCAGTATCCCTCTATAGCTTCACTGTGCATTTTCTGTAAATATTTTCAGGTTAATTATTCTGATGAGATTTCTTCCTTGCTACCCTGTCTTTACAAATTTAAGCTTGGTAATAGATTGGCAGCTAGCTTCCATCATTTTACAGTTGAAAAATCTAGACGCAACCAAAAATCTATGCTAACAGTTTTGCACTGCTTTCTTGTGGAAATTCTTCCCAGTCTATTGCTTTAACATTTAATCTTCAAACTTTTACATACAACCTAAAGGCTGCCTTCTGATTTATTATTTTCTATTTTTTATTGTACTCCCTCCTTAATAATCCTTTTATTTTTCGCATATTCTTTTTGCACTATGTAACCTCTCTTGCGTCATAGTGGCTTTATTGCCTTACTTTCGTTGGAAGTAGTAGATAAACAATGATGTTTACCGTTTCTCACCCCCACTAAAGATCATTTAACGCAAATAAAAAAAAGAGAGGTCGATAAACGCAATATTAATTTGAGGAAAATGTAGGAAGTGTCATTATTGGCCAGATGGTGATATGATTTGGCACAGAAAAAACGACAGTAAAATGGCCACATCAGTTACGGCTGTGTATATTTGCTACTGGCAATGCATTTTAAACTAATTCACTAAAACTCCGAACGTTGTTTACAAATTTTCCAAAGGTTTTAATTAGATGTTCTCATTTATTTGAAATTTACGCCGAAATAAATATCACAGTGCCATATGTCCTAATATATTTGAATCAGTATATATATATATATTTTTTTTCTTTCAGTAGATAGACAGATACTGGCAACTCTCTGGACAATCAAATTAGCGATTACAAAACAAGACATGTCGGATCAGTTTAAATGCCCTTAACACCATTCATTAACGAGACATTTAGCAGAAATCGACAATAAATATTACTAGATATAACCTGACGGACGAGAAGTTAAATGAATTCGTGATTGTCAATGTCTCTACCTAACTATCCCTGTATTTCTCTTGACATTATTTCTCTCTATCTCTCTTTATTTCTCTCTATACTTTCTTTATTTCTCTCTATACTCTCTTTATTTTTCTTTATTTCTCTCTATCTATCTCTCTCTATCTATCTCTCTCTATCTATCTCTCTCTATATCTATCTCTCTCTATCTTTCTCTCTATCTCTCTCTATCTCTCTCTCTATCTATCTCTCTCTCTATCTATTTCGCTCTCTATCTCTATATATAGATATGTCTATTTTTATCAACCCCTTTCTCTCTCTCTCTCTCTCTCTCTCTCTATATATATATATATATATATATATATATATATATATAGTTTATTCACCCGTCGTTGATCGACGAGGGCTGTTGACTCGCACCTACCTGGAACTATTTTAAGACGTATGAGGGTCAGGCAGCTCAGTTGCTCGGGACCGACAGACACCAGATATGATTTTATTATAGTGCAGAAACAAGTACACTTTTGGAAGAGACGAATACAGAAACCTGGTGCCACAAAGTTCCCAAACGAACTTCTGCAGGTTTTGAATTCACCGTTGTCCTCCTTCTAGACTAGTGGCTATTCAAGACTATAGAACCCAGTCTGTCCTGCTATTTACCCATAGATGAGGGGAGAAGAAGAGGATCCATACCATTCGCAATGGTAATAGCACGTAATGTAATGGATAGCGGCTCGGATTGTGGAACCCGGGAGCAGAGTTCGACATATATATAATCTGTCTCTCTGCATATCTTTCCATCTCTTGTTATCTATAAAACAATTTCTCTATCTCTCTTTATATATCTTTATCTCTCTTTATTTCTGTCTCTCTAATATATATGTCAAAGGAAAGACAGTTAAATGTATAAATGTTTAAAACATATTCTTATTTCGAAATTTACAATAATCATATTACATATTTCCATGTTTAGAGATAAAAAAAAATTGCTATGTTATATATCTATTCAATCATTTATCGAAAAAAACTTGGGTACATGAGCATCGAATAAAAAGTCTATCGTTATTGATGGTATTTCCCCTAAAATCGAATGAAGATGATTGAGTAGCAACGTTTGAACCCTTCTAAGATTCCTAAAGAGATCGACCAATCAAAATGGCGTAGTTAGCAGGAAAATGATACAATTACTACTTTGCATAATAATTAATCATATTCAATTTAATACTTATTTTTTTTAATTATGTAGAAGACGTGGCGTCCTGATGATAATTTAAATTCATAATAAGAAAACATCGGCAAATTATGGCGCAATATTTCACTAACAGATAATTTATATTACAGGATACAGAATACTACGCACAAGAGTTAGCTTCAGTTGCATCGGGTCTTAAATTGTCATAGCGTTTTATTTTTACTGATCTTGCATAAGGCAATGTCGAAGGATTATTTTAGAAAGGAAAATCAAATGTTGGAATTGAATTATAAACTACAACAAAGAGAAAAAAAAATGAGTAAATTTCGTATTATTTTACTGTATATATTATGTATAGAGATTTGAACCTTACTTTAGAATTCACTTCTTTGCTAACATGAAAAGAAAGCAAAATGTTTGTGTCGTCATTTACGAGCAAATGAAATTAATTAAAATTTAAAATAAAACTGCAAATTAGCAAATTGAATTAAAGAAAGGGCTTACCGTTAGAAAAAAATATTCAATATCTTGATTTGGAAAAAGAATATCATAAAATTAACAACAATAATGTGAATTATAATCAGAATAATGCTGCTGATAAAATTGAATTGCTATCGCAGCAGATGCAATTAAAGTCCCTGGTTTGTGATTAAAACTCGTCTGGAAAGAAAATTCATTTTGATCCTTTCACAGGTTAACCGCTTTTTGATTATCAGCATGTGTAATTGACTTCTTGCATAGGATTATCTGTGTGTATGCTTGTGCGTACATATGTTTTTAAGTCAGTGTTGGCGTTTCTGCGTATGTTTTTGAAAACCTTTGTGTGTGTGTGAGAGAGTTCGTTCGTTCGTATTGGTGTTGCTGAAAGCGTGTCTGCTTATATGTGTAAATAAGCACACACAATGAGCGTTTATAAGAGAGAGAATAGATGTGTGTGTTATTAAAGGGGGATCTCTAAATGCATCTGATTACGGATTGCTTGTGATTGCGTATAACTTGGAGTCAGTATTAATTAATGCGAGGTTACTTGTGCAAAATTATCCTTCTACATACGTACGTATAAACTTATCGCGATTTTTCTATGCTTGGATTAGATGTGAAACAAGGCTTAAAATATGTGGCACGCAGTGAGGATTGAATTCACTATTCAGTTGTAACTGATCGTGCGACACAAGTTTACTAACCATCTCACAACGTCGAGGTTCCCCCAAACTGATTTTCTAAGCTTAGCTTAGATGTGGCACAAGGCCGAAAGCGTGGAGCACACAGAGAGGATCGAAATCCCAACTAAGCCGTAATGGTTCTAATGAAACATGTTCGCTAACTATTACACCATCTCGAAGTGCCTAATCTATCTAGTTGTGTATGTCTCTATTTGTCTATCTATGTACATACATAACAACATTACTTTGTTTTAGGTTGTGTTTATAAGCAAATCGTTGTATGCATGAATATAGGTGCAATAGATGCGTATGCATGTATTTATATTCAGGTTTGCATGAATCGATGCGTAAATTTTTTCAAGTGCATGACTATGTGTAAGAGCGTGTGTATTTTTGAATATCTGATTAAATACCTGTGTTTGTAATTTCTTTTGTTGTTTTTTTTTTCTGCAGGAGAATATATTAATGCATGTCTGCGCACGCGCGTGTTACATTATATTTGTATGTTTTAATATATGTGACTTCGTGTGTGTGTCATTTTATTGAATTCCTCGTTCCAATGTTCTGTTCTTTTCTTAATTTTCTGTTAAAATTTCTAATTTTTTTTGTTGGAATTTCTTCGTAATTTTAACTGATTCTTTTGAAATTCCAACCCTGTTCCGTATTCCCTTAAAGAAATACATGAAACTGTTCCAATGTCTTCAGTCAGTTGAGTAGATACGCGCCAAATACCTAGAAATAGTTGATAATTTCTTTATTTGAAGTTCGGTCATTGATTTAAAAATGTAACATTTTGATTAAAGATTCGAAATCCGAATATAATAATTAGCTATTGGAGATATAGCAGCAGCTGACATAATTCGATTTCAGTGTGAAAACATTCAGCAATTAAATTTTTGATTTGATTCTGGGAAACATTTCTTAATGTCAATTTTCGAAATATACCTACATTATATTTTATCAGATTTAACTTCCTCGATATCAGTAGAGCTCCTTTCAATCAGGTGCATTCATATTAAAAAATTGAGAACAGCCGTACGCTCTTTAGCGCAGGAAGATTGAAAAATTTCGGCAAATAGATAAAGCAAGGTCACCTATATGAATTGTCTTATGATAATGAGTTGATAGATTATTAATTTAAGAGATACACTGGTTTGAATAATTAGAGGATTGCTTTTAAATGACTAGGAATTTACTGTTTTGAAAGAATTATTAATAAAATTTTGATGAGTTTGAAGAAAATTTATGTCCTTATATTTATCGTGAGATATAATATGAAATGTTTCAAAACAGCAACTACTCATTAAAAGTGGATGTTAATAATAAAAACAATGTCGAATATAAAGTAAAGAAATTGTCGAGAAATAATGATTAGCTTAACAGATTTATTGACAGAATGATAAATTGTAGAAAAACGCAAGCGACTGGAAAATGTCTTCATTCTACTTGACCTCCTGTTAATGTCGTTCGAATAACACTGAAAAATAACAAAAAGAAGGCTAGAAAAAGTTTAATCAAGATAATTATCCTTCCAGTGTTGTAAAGGAAACTTTTTTTTGTGCGCATGCGTATGTTGTAACTTTTAAAGATAAGGCTGACGGCAATTATTTCCTGTTGAATGTCGCGTCAATAAATGAAAAAAGGAAGGTATCAATTAAGAACAACTGATATTAACACGGCGGTTTGCTGGAAGCAAATAAAACCCCGTCGAGCTTAAATTAAAGAAAGTAACATTGACACCATACGAAAAGAATGGCCAATATCTCTCTCTGTGCTCGACGTGTTTTACATGTCGGTAAATAATAGTTCAGAAAGCTGAATTGTGTTGCAGAGACGACATAAACACATACTTTGAAGTATAGAGTTAAGAAATGCTTCACATGATCTACACAGAAAATTCATTCAAATAATCTATCTTTCTACTGGGGACAAGCAGCTTGCAAAGGAATAATAAGTGAATGCACCTACATAAAACAAGTTGGTTTATTTACTATATACAGGGGGGGGATTCTAAGAACTGACATTCGGTTTTATTTACGGCAGACATAATTTAGCAATATAGGCTATGCAAAAAGTGTATAGTGAGGGCAGGTGCAAAACAAAACCGTGAATTATACAAGATAAACGAGGAAATAAAAACGTTATCACTATCAGTCAGTTATATGCCATGCGTGATACACGCTTAGGCGATCATGTATCTTTCGATTCATGACTGACGAGTCAGATTTTTTCCAGTAGGTTGCTATTTCTTTTTGCGGTAGACCAGTTGCCATCGAAGGATATAGAACCCGGTCCGGGGGAGAAGAAAAAGATTCATACCCTTTTACATAGTTATTATCACGTAAGTGAATGTAATTGATCTGACTAGAATTCGAACTCGGCTCTCTGATTTCTCAATCTGAGCCACTCTCCATTAATCCACCATACCTCCTCACGATATCACCTTCAGTCAGTTATGTGCCATGCGTGTTACACGCTTAGGCGATCATGCATCTTTCGATACATGACTGACGAGGCAGATTTTTTGCCATTTCTTACTGCTGTAAACCGGTTGTCATCAATAAACAACCATTTTGTGTTCTACCATCATAGCTGACGTGAAACCTTTCCGTCTTTATGGTCTCACGTTTCCACTGAAACGAAATGGTATGGTTATATTGAATCAATTTCTAGGTCTGCTGCTAGGAAAGCTGGTTCACCGTTTAGTGCCAGACAATTTCTCTCGTCAGAATTTATCTTACACATTTATTTACTCTTCGTCCGCGCATTGAATATTGCTGCTATATCTCGTCTGGTATTCCTGCTATGTGTTTCGGTGATTCTCGACAAAATCTGAAGAATTATTTGCAAGGTAACCGGTTCTGACCTGGCAATTAGTCTCCAGTCCCTTTCTCAGCGCCGTAACGTGGCTTCCCTCTGTTTTATCTATAAATATTTTCATGGCAATTATGCTAATGAGCTCCACATCCTTGGTACCTCAACTGCATTAATTTAAGCGTACTACTAGTTTGGCAACTAAGTTTTACAGTTGAATTTTTTGGGTGTAAGTTCTATTATGTTTTCTTTTATTACACTTCTCGCCTGTGGGACTCTTTTTATTTTCTCGTTTCCCCGCCGCCTACAATCTTCAAAAGATTAAATGAAACATCAATTAGATTCTTCCGTCTTCCAGAATCGTGTTTTCTTTTTATTCTTTTTTCTCATTACCAGTCTTCTCATTTATTTTCCCTCCTATCAAAACTTTGTGTCTTAATTTTATTAACGCCTTGATTGCCGGGAAATGATTAAAAATAAGTAAAATATATCTCTAAGAAGATAGATTGCGTGGTTGTCAGCAAAAGTCACAAACGGAAATAAGGTTTCTTACTGGGGACATAAAATGCAATTAAAAATATAAATAAAACAGAGTTACGAAAACCAAACGGCAATAGATATATAGAAAGGCGTGTTCAGGAATTACACCAGTTCATAAAATATAAGAAAATGTCCTTAGAAACACGCAAATATTTGTTTAAATATTCTGCAGTAACTAATATCATACCCGACTGGAAAACTTAATCACTGTTTAAAAAAAAATACATGAGAAGCGATATAAACGTATTTTTTCTTATAGACGAATGATGAGAATATAAAATATAGGATATTTTTGAGAGACAAAAACAAGTTATAAGAGAATTAAAACTATAGAAACTGCTGTTAATCGTCAGAAATTAATGGTAAGCATTTTTGGTACGCATATTGAGGCAGGGACACTTGGAGAAAGTAACACACTTAGTTCCCATTAAGTCCAAGCAAGGCATTGAAAAGTTCAGCAGCGTTTGCTTACCTACTTCCGCATTTGGGAAATGCATATTCCATATTTTCTCTCTCAAGCCAAGTGTAAAATAGATTGCTTAACAAAACATTGCTCGCCTCTCGCTACTCCAACGTAATCGTTATCACATTTATTCAAGCGAGCTGCATTCCTTACTTCTACTAGTTCAGACCTTCACAGCTAAAACGAACAGATTCAAATGACTTTTATTGATAAGGAAGAAACCTCATTCGGAGAAATTAGCTTACATAATTTTTACTTTGTTGAACAGATTCCCGAAATAATGCTTACCGAAGCTCTTCAAACTTAAGCCCTACAATCTTCATATGTATCTCTTAGTTATTCCGCCTAAGCCCTTACAAGAAACATATTCACTAATCCTGTACCTTCTAAATCTCTTGCGCCTTGTATTAGGCTGGAAATTGTTTTAAAAAACTGTATTCTTTCGCCATCCATTGCAACTGAACGAGAACAACGGTAGTACCGAATTCAAGCTGCTTGGACGTAGGGTTAATAACATCGACCCCTATTTTTTGTCAGAAAACAGCTTTATCCACTTGCATTATCGTCTTTTGGTTCTTTGTTCCATGGCGAGTTTAGGGCTAGGATTAATAATATTTTCTTTTAGATAGTTAATATTGAGTTAAGATGTACTCTAAATAAAGACACTCCATTTCTTTGCTAACTCTGTATTAAATTTTGCTTAGGAAAGAGGAATTATAATTGCGGCATTTAAGATAACATTGTTTAAGGTTAAACCACGTTGAAAGTACCGGTTATCCTTTTATCACTGCAGGTAAACATTCAAAACTGGTTCCAATATAGAATGCGGAAACGAGTACACCAAATAAAGGGCACTAAAAAGAAAAAAAGATGCAGTTTCCTATAATGACAGACGGCTCTTTGTTGTACAATCTTACATCTGTTTGGTGAGGTAATGCCACTCTCAAACGCAAGTTGAAAGGATTTCCCCGAAATATACACTAGTGTCTTTAGTAGCAGATACGACCGCGAATAATCTCAGTTTCACAGGGACTGTAATTGAAAAATTATTATTATTATTATTGAATTTAACTATTCATTATATTGTTGGGGAAAATTAGTGGAAGAAATGATTAATATAATCATTTCAGGAACACCGGCGATATCAGAGCCATTCTGTTAACTCCGAGGGAATAATTTTGACGATAGGGCATCTAATGCCGATTGTCTAGGAAAATACAACATTGGTGCAATTGAGATATTCCGGATGCAGTTACTAATTTTGTGGGTTGGTTAAGTTGAGAGGATGAATGAGGACAGAATACCTAAGGTCCTCATATATAACCAGTTTGTCAGTGGAGAAAAGATTGTTGGTCGGCCGTGGCTCAGCAAGCTAAAAAGTAACCACTCAGCTACTAATGTGCTTCATACTAACTTCGAGCGAGTTCTCCCGAATAGAAATATATGGAGATATTTCGGCCAGAGAGGTATCAGACTTTTCGAAATCAGTCGTATTATCCGGCTAAGAGACAAAAGACAACGGCGAAAAACGTGAGCATGTATTCCTGTTGCTTTGTCCAGAGAAACTCGGTGTGGCATAATATGCGGACTTGTATGCAGGTCAGTAAATGAACTGAAGTGTCAAATATGATATAAACATAAAGATGAAAGAAGATTTCGGATCCTCATAGGTGGAAATCGACAATAGTCATTCATATTACACTTATAAATTCTATATTCTGTACTTTCATATTATAAATTTGTTTCATATTTTATATGGTTGTGTTGCTGGAATAACTCTGAACAACTAAAAGATTTCATCATATAATTCTTCTCTTTAAGTTAGGTAGGGTATACTGGGCTGGCAGCTTTGTTTGTTTAGCGGCATATCAACCTCTATGAGTTATTTAATGCATATTTCCAAATAATTTCATTAATTTTATGGCTCAAACTAAATACATTTTGAACGCTTCAACAACAGATAAAATGTATAATTTTAAAATGCTAAAATGTTAATTTTACTATTAATAATTTGCTGGTAATTTTATTATAAAAAAATCTAGTTTTAAACTTTCATAGTGTTTTATTATTTTTATTTCTGACTTAACTATTTGCCCATAGTTGTGACCCTAACAGGTGCTACCACCCCGGATCATGGTGGACCTGGGAACAATAGAAATTAAGAGGTGGTTCCATGCTCCTCAAGCCTTCGAATCCCCCAATCAGAGGCCTTGCTGTCGTTGGGTATACTGAGTCATCGAGCCTTGATAGGCAACAATCTAAGATTAATATTCATCTTAATATAAAATCGTGCCGAAGACAACGGTGAACAAGTTTACTATCTTTCTCTAAAGTTGTCATGGTGATTTAGAATTTAGAGATATTACAAACAGAAAATTGTGCGTAGCCACGTTAGCCTACATCCTGAAGGGACATGGTATTAAGGAGAAAGAGGAGGAGATATCGCCTTTTTAGCAATGAAATATTGTGTACTTGATTTCATGCCTTTGTGTCTGTCTCTTTGAAGCTTTTCTTCCTTTGTCTGTAAACGACCGTTTTTTTTCTTCTTTCTGCTTTAACGCTGCTTACAACGCAGATTCATTTGCTATTTTGGTCTCGCTTTGAATTCTATTAAAGCAGTTTAGTGTGAAAGCACACAAACCCGAATAATTCTCGTAGGGAAACAATTTTTTTTTTCAGAACGGTATGAATATCGTGAATTGTTTTCCTTTATACGGAAACTTTTAGACTGGCAATCGATGAAGTTCGATCAGGTTATCGATCGATATTACTAGATAATCGTTACAGGAAATAAACCCTGCAGAAAAGTTTGTAGTCGCTTCTGATTTTTCTCATCATCAGTAGCAGTATCTATTGCAAATGAAAATTCCCAACACCTTCTATGATGACATTGTCTCGCTAGATCAATTAAATGTGAAGAGTGCGTTCGATTCTCACTGGGCATCATGTACTTTCTGCCACATTTCATCTACGCTTAGAAATTCAACACCTAATATAATGACATTAATGGTGCTACTCATTTTTATATACGCGTTTGTCCAAAAGCATCAAAATTGTCTTTTTTTTTTTTTTTTTCGAATAGTTATGTTTTTCTGCTTGCATGTCTTATTAATCACATTTTTTAGCGTTTCAAATATATGCACATTTGATTACATCTGACGAAAGGTCTTTTTATTTTATAACTTTTCAATATTTCTGTTAGATTTTAAGCTTTCTTTCATCAAAATAAACTCTTGTTTTAAGTAAAGTAAACTACAGAAATGAAGCAGTCATGCTTACGGACGTGTTGAGGCCTCACATTTATACACACGAACATAGGCACTTACACATATCATACTCACTCAAATGATAACACACACACACAGGGCAATATACACGCTTACACATATCATACTCACTCCTTAAGAACCAAATAACGCACACACACTTAACAGAGACACATCCCCTCTCCAGGAACCAATAAAACTGTCAATCTGACCAGGGGAATTCAGAGAAGCATAGATCCATCCAGCTCTTATCTCAAATAACAACTTAAAAGAGACTGTTTGACCAACACAAGGAATCTTAAAAGATTGATGCTAAAAAGATAAAAAAACAAAACAAAAAACAAATGAAAACTACAAACAAAAGTTCATTTTCTCCATCAAGACATTCATTTCTGTAGTTTACTGCAACCAGCAAGCAGAAATATTTCTTCTCCTGATGATGGCCATTTTGTCCGAAACTAGACGAGGAATCTAAATGAAATAATAATAAAAAAAACGAAAGAATATTAATCTACAGCCCAGTGTGTCTGAAGATTTTTAAAAATTTTCATTGTTCAATATATATATATGATGTAGTGCGCGTGTGTAGTACATTTAATTACAGACCAACGGACGTTCATTGTTGATTATTTATTTTTGCACCATTTCTACCCCAACCGTCGTTTTCCTCTCTCTCTTTTGTCTGCCTCTCTCTCTTTTTCCGGTCTCTCTCTCTCTTTTTCGTGTCTCTCACTCTCTCTCCGTGTCTCTCTCTTTTTATCTATTTCTCTCTCTCTTCCTCTCTCCTCCTCTTTTTTCCGGTCTCTCTCTCTTTTTTCTATCTTTCTCTCTGTCTTGTCTGACTCTTTCTCTCTTTACTCTTTCTCTCTCTCTGTACTGTCTGTCTTCCTGTCTATCCACCTCTTCTGTCTGTCTGTCTGTCCATCTCTTCTGTCTGTCTGTCCATCTCTTCTGTCTGTCTGTCCATCTCTTCTGTCTGTCTGTCTGTCCACCTCTTCTGTCTGTCTGTCTATCCACCTCTTCTGTCTGTCTGTCTATCCACCTCTTCTGTCTGTCTGTCTGTCCATCTCTTCTGTCTGTCTGTCTGTCCATCTCTTCTGTCTTTCTGTCTGTCTTTCGTTTCGCATTTATAGATTTATATTATTCTGTATTTTACAACAGGAGTTACATACCACTTCACTAAATATAAGTCCCACAAAAGATGACAATTAACAGGGAAACACAGATACGCACACACATATATATTTACATAAACACACACATATACACACTCACGCACATACATATTTGTATATATAAATACATGCACATATATACAGACACATACACGCATCACACACGCATATATACACATACATACACACATGTGTAAGTCTGGGAGAGATGGACAGACGTGTATATGGGCTGACGTTCAAAATAAACTAGATAAACAGACCTACATTTGAACAGACAATGATATAGATAGATAGACGCTATTGCTGAAATAGATGTATTTGGATAAGTGAGTGATATAAACTGGCAAACTAAAGCGAGCGAAGAGAAAATAACAGAGTTTGAACAATAGTCGCTGAGACGTTGGAGTGTGAGGTAAAACGTTACTTTCTCTTACTCAGCATCAACTCCAATACCAATTTTGGAAAGCCGTTTTCCCCCTACAGGTAATATTTTGCCCAGTGAAGACTTGTTGAAGTGGCAACAAATATTGACTAAATACGGCGCAGAAGGAGGTAAGCAGTTATGCATTGATGGCCAATAAGGCGAGATTCTATTCTGCAAAACAAAGCAAAGGTTATACTCGTTCTTATCTGTTGGCATTTGACTTCGTAATTCTTGTCTTTTCTCAGGAGAGCAAAGGAAACCAATCACTTCAAAAACAGTTATTTCCGGACTAATAATAGTTACTTGCTCCAAAGTAGATGGACACATACTTTAAGAGCTGGTAAATCGTTATCACTATTTTTAGGCGGCGGCATTGTGTTCAATATGATCTCGACATTTGTCTTTTATTTAATCCATGTTGTACAAAGGAAGCGAACAGCGTTCAATGAAAAAAGACTGGCATTAATTTTGAGAAAGTCAAGAAAGAACTATTTCGAAAATTGTTAAAGTATAAACATCATCACTGCTGCAAAAGGATCATAGACATGATAATATAACCGCCGCCATACTTTGCTGAGAAACCCCTGACTCTACTTTAAAAGCGTTTGCATATTGAAGTGATTGAAAATCTATGATTTCTGTGGATGCAGCTTGTCTCTGTTAAATTGTATATTGTTTGAAGTTCCCTAATTCCCATCATTTCCCGTTCGTCCATTTTCCCTCTCTTTCTAAAAAAAGCTCTCTTTATATATATATATATATATATATATATATATATATATATATATAAATGTTTAAAGACGAGAGCGATTAAGATTTTACTCAACTGTATTCGTGTAAGTGATTTCTTTTCTGGATATGAAGTGTTTAAAATCTGTGCGAATTTTCTACATATCCGAGTGCATTCGGCTATTCTTTAAAAAAATTTCATTTTGTTTTAATTTTTGAATGTGTAAATGTTCAATATGTATCTGGAGTGATGGGAATATTTTATTATTATTATTATTTTTACTATTATTATTTTTTTTCCAAACCCGATGAGAAATTTGCGTTTCTGTTCTTAGCTGATCTAACTGAGTGTTGGCCTTTTCATTTTTATTAATAATACTTCCATTATTTTAGCCTTTTTTTTAGACCTGGATGATACTATTACACTTGTATTATCAACGATTTTGTTCAGGATAGATGTTGCTAGTACTCCATGTGTATTTAAATGAGACCTAATTGAGCTATGATCAGAGGCTAAAGTGTAACTTTAGTCTTCTTGTAGTATATCCAATATATATATATATATATTGGATAGTTAGGGACAAAGATGATGAAAATAAAAAAGAATACAGATGAATTTGGCTAGATTGAAAACATTCTTTTCAAACAAATATTCTTTAAAAAAATTTGAAACTGCTAGCCTCTCTCGTAGACATAGCAACATTAACAAAGCACAGTCGTCTGATGGAAGCCTAACTGCTGAAACACGTCACAAAAACATTTTTCCGATTTGTGATATTATCTTTTTAAATACTGTTTGTTTATATATAGAGAGGGAGAGAGAATGGAAAACCACCTATGGTTTTATACTTTCCTTTCTACTATTACTTTTGTATTTTTCCTTTTTCTTCGTCATTTCATCGTCAGCTTCTAATGGGATTAGGATGCAAGTCTAACGTTAATTAAAGAGAACGATAAGACTACTGAAGTGGTGTCTTCTCAACAAAAATTATTCGGCCTATATGGGAAGGCAATGCTGAGAGAATTAGATGTCCTCCCAGAAATCATTATTGTCGGCCACAATATTAACAACTTAATATATTCATTTGACACAGTTTTGATAGCACACACGGAAAGAAAAATCCAAAAGATACTACAGTGGCTAGTAAAAGAAAGCCTAACAAGACTAAAAATAAACTACAGAAGATATGGTCGTTCGTAAAATGATGAGCTTTAAATGCAAATTACAACTTGAAGGTACCAAAATCAAACAAGTATAAAAATTTAAATACTTGGGAATTATTCTAACAGAGGAGGGAAAGTGTGGCACTGAAATCCGAAGACGCGTTGGGTTAGCCAAAGACGCATTCCAAAAGTTAAGCTGAGTACTAAGAGATAGAAAAAACCTCGTTAAAAAAAAGGGTACTGAAGTTACGTGATATCTGTCCTATTTGACAGTGAATTATGAAAAATCTCAAACTGAGAAAGAGACATGAGGCAAGAGAAATGTGGTTCTACATGTGGATGCTGAGGATACCATAGACTGAACATATGAGCAACAAAAAAAGAGAAAATGGAAACTTATATAAAACAGCTGGAATTTCTAGGCCACATAATAAAGAAGAATGACTTGGAATATCTGATACTCACAAGACAAATTGAAGACAAAAGGGACAAAGGAAAATGGTGTAAAAATACTTGATAAGCTCAATGGATAGCGGACCCGGATTTAGGAGAAATAAAGAAAAGTCACAATTTTTAATAACAACAAAGCAAATGAAATTGTGAAGAACAAGTTGCCTACGTCCTGAGAAGAGAGCATATATAGATAAGTGAAGATAAAGGAGACTTTTGATTATATTGTCTTCTTTTTCTAGGATTCGTAGCGATTGCTTCTAAGTAATTAAAAAAGTAGTTATCAGTCATATATTAATGTGAAATTGGAAAAGAAAATCATTGAAATTCCTAATTCCTTGGCTGAAAACGTGAGTACATACACCGCTTTTCATTAATTAAGAGTAAGTATTTTGCATTTTAAGTCCTAAATTAACAACACAGGTGTTTTTTTTTCAGTCGTTACATATTAATGTCAGTAAAGTAAACAGATCTATGTTCACTTCCAAGTGAGTCATTTCTTAGTTCTCAATTCACCACCTTTAGACCGGACACTAGTTCAGCGATAAGGTATAAATTATAGATCGATGCCTATTAATAATCGTCTCGGTTTGACAATGTAAGCGAACACAGGCTGACAAGACACCTCTTTTGTGATTTAAGAATGAATTCTTTGCGTTTGTTATATACTTTATATATAAAAAGATAACATGAATCAAACGTTGTTGGGGACATTGTTGGCAATTTCTGAATAAATGCCACAGACATAGTAATGTTTACCTTTGTTCGCGGCAACAGACAGGCACTTCTAGAGAAGACTAAATCCGGAAATGCTATTCATTGAATACACTTTAAAAGTACTATTTTTTGAATTTATGAAAAAAAAATCTAAGCACTCGAACAGCATCAAAAAACCGACCAGTTACTTGTCCAATTCATAATGATGCACAAGTTTAAATGTTAGAATCAAGTTGATAATGTTGAAATTTATTATTGTTAGTAAAATTAGTAGTATTAGTAATATTCTTATTTTTATCAATAATAGTATTCGTCGTCTTATAATTGTAATAGTAGTAATATTATTATTTCTATTCGTAGTGTTAATCCTTAACACGTACGTCCTGCAATTTCCTTAGATAAATAATGGTCTATTCCTGTTTTTTGCGAGGATAAACGCAAAAAAAAGATATATCAAATGCTTTTGGGGAAAGGAATGGAAAGGAAAACAAAAAATAAATTAACAAAAGATAAGGCGATAATACTGTTTAACGACTGACTCCATGAAATGGAAAACCTTGTCCGTTTATTTTACTTTATTTGTATCCTCTCACTTGTTGAAATAATCACCGAAATTTCTATCGCACAACGTCGTGATCGCTCCACGGTCACGCTCTGCGACGATGTAATGACCACCCTATCAGAGTTATCTACCTGGCGACAAATTTGCAGCAGTCTACGCACCAGCTGGAGGGACGCCGTCTTCAGGGCCTCCAGTAGATTAACCTTGCGCTGGGGGATGTTTCGGCACTCTGCCAAGTCCGCTAGAGCTGGAGGTACAAATTGGCTCCCGTGGGCTCAATGCTTTCATGGCATGCGATTTAGCAGCAGCAGCATCATTTATCCAGAAATAAAGCTGTAAAAATAAATCTTCAGTAAGTACAAAAGTTTGTGAACTTTATCCTCCCAAAACCTTACACACAGACTTTAGAAATATTTTAAAATCTGAGTTTTATTAAAACAATCAGCAAGAAATAATATCATTTAATCTACCATCATGCACTAATCTACTTCATAGTGATTATTTCATTCCTAGCTTTGATTAACGAGTTGTGAAAATTTCATGATCCTTTAAGAAATACAATGATGGCAAACCAATCTAATGGTCATATCTCTTTATAAAAATTCCTACGAGAATATTTTCACTGAAATATTCCATAATACATGATTATATTTATTTAAACTAACATAGGATAGTTTATGTGTAACGATTATTAAAACAAATATAGCGAAAACAGTAGCACTGATAATGTGAGATATAAATTAACACATGCTTCTGTATGTAATGTGAGATATAAATTAACACATGCTTCTCTATGTAATGTGAGATATAAATTAACACATGCTTCTCTATGTAATGTGAGATATAAATTAACACATGCTACTGTATGTAATGTGAGATATAAATTAACACATGCTTCTGTATGTAATGATATAAATTAACACATGCTACTGATATAAATTAAGATATAAATTACATGCTTATGTAATGTGAGATATAAATTAACACATGCTTCTTTATGTAATGTGAGATATAAATTAACACATGCTTCTGTATGTAATGTGAGATATAAATTAACACATGCTTCTGTGAGACATGTAATGCTTCTGAGATATAACATAACACATGCTTCTTTATGTAATGTGAGATATAAATTAACACATGCTTCTGTATGTAATGTGAGATATAAATTAACACATGCTTCTGTATGTAATGTGAGATATAAATTAACACATGCTTCTGTATGTAATGTGAGACATAAATTAACACATGCTTCTGTATGTAATGTGAGACATAAATTAACACATGCTTCTGTATGTAATGTGAGATAAATTAACACATGCTTCTGTATGTAATGTGAGACATAAATTAACACATGCTTCTGTATGTAATGTGAGACATAAATTAACACATGCTTCTGTATGTAATGTGAGACATAAATTAACACATGCTTCTGTATGTAATGTGAGACATAAATTAACACATGCTTCTGTATGTAATGTGAGACATAAATTAACACATGCTTCTGTATGTAATGTGAGATATAAATTAACATATGCTTCTGTATCTGAAATCAAATTAGAATGGAAGGCTAAATTTATTCTGCATTATATTTTCCTATTTGCTCAAATGAACGTTGCACAATTTCTCGTTCATTGCCTCTCATAGGCATTTTCCGTATGTCTTTCAATACTTTCCTCTTTCTTAGATTGTTTTTCTTTTCTCTCTAGGTTTCTGATTGTTGTTTCATTTTCTGTCAATATCTACCTATTCCGCCAAACTTCCATTTTTCAAATACATTTTACTTTTTCTTTCGTCAGTATTTCTTTTTTCTTCATCTCTTTCATTTTTCTTTCTTTTTCTTTTTGGTTCTTTTTCTTGTTTCTCTTTTTTCTTCTTGCTTCTTTTTCTTTCTTTTGGCTTTTCTTTTTCTTTCTTTTGGCTATTCTTTCTTTTCATTCTTTTTCTTACATTTATTTTTCTTATTTTCCTTTCTTCCCTTCTTTTCTTGCTTTTATTTCTTTACATTTTCTTTGACTTCTTTGTCTTTCTCTTTTCCTCTTTTCCTTTTCTGTTTTCCTCTTTTCCTCTCCGTATCTTTCTTTTCCCTTTTTCTTCCCTAATTCAGTGTTATTTTCTTATAACAATTTTCTAATAACTCTTTGATTATTCGTTTGTATATTTCTTTATCATCATACATTTCGGCACACCTCTATTTTCCTTTTATACTTCGGTACTTTTCTCTCGCTTGTTTAAATCTTGCATTTGCCCGTATTCCTTCTTTCTTTTCTAACTGATAGATATTTCATTTCAATTTTTTCTTAAATTTATTTTTCCAATACACGTTTCGTTCCTTGTTTTTTTTTCTTTCTTTCCTTAACATATCATTTCTTACACCCGTTACTTATTATTTTCCCCACTTTAATCTTTCCACATTTGTTTTCTTTCTTCTTATGTAGTCTTTAATCTTTCAACTTTAATTTTTCATTCATCGCTTTTTTTCTTTGAATATACCATTTCCCAACACCGCTTTATTCATCCTTATTTCATTCCTGAGCCTTTCGAAGTTCTTTCCTTACCTGATTTAATTCTTATCTTTTGCCGATAATCATTCGTCTTCACTCTATTTTGTTCCTTTCTCTCCTTGTCTATGTCTTTCTTTCAACCTATGAAAAAAAATCTTTTCCAAATATATGCACCGGTATTATTTGTTCTTTTATTGTTGTTTTCGGATTTATCATTGTCTGCTTTTTTTTCTCATCTTTCGAATGTTTTCGACTCTTCTTTTCAACTTCCTTTGTGGTTAGCACAGGTGTAAAGTCCGGCTTACTTCCTTTTGCAACAATATCCGGCGTTGAATCAGTGTTATCATGTGAGAACGAAGACAGTTCATTTCGGAGATAACTGCAATACAATAGCAACACAATATTTCCCCCATTTTTTTCGTTTACTGTTACAAACATTTAGGCTACGTAAATTATCTAAATATTATCTTCTTTATACAACATTCTTTTCTATTGTTCTCTCATTAAAAACCTCACATTATCATCTTAATTTCGCTCTGTTGACAATTTAATTTCATGTTCATTTTCCTGCCTCATCTTTGGACGTTTACACAGCACTGTTTTTTTCTTATTTTCCAATGGGTATCTTTTCTCTTTTACGCAACACGTCTTTGCATACAAAACACGTATTCTTTTATACACTTCAGCATAAAGTATAAAAAACAGTGCATACTCTCCTATCTATGAGGCAACTGATTCAAGATAGCAAGGAATTCGAAATTTGCTTTTCAACATATTTCTGAATATAACCTTAAAGACAAATGGCAAGCCATCTAAGAAGCAAAATATCAGCTATTAAAGAACATTATATGTTTATTTATAAATTTAGTTAACATTGTAAAATGAGGAAAGGTTTTTGTCATGTCCTGATGTTTATACTGTATAACCATATATGTATTTTAATTGTTTTTAGTCCTACAATGAAAATATTTCTAGAGTCTCCTCAGGACGTAGCCGATCATGGCTTTCCCAAATTTCAAAACATTTTATATTCTAAAGAACCTTTAACGATTCTAAAGTCCAGCCATTTATTCCTACAAATTCTTCAATATCTCACACGGTGTGTTCCTTTGCCTTTTTTTGCCTTTAGTCTACCCAATGAGTTTTAAATTCTCCTAACCCTCTTTCCTCATTTTGTAGCATAAGAATGTCAAATGTCTTTTTTTCTGATTTTAAGTATGAGTTTCCTTTTAATTCTTAGAAACGCCGCTTTGTTTAACTTTTCAGTTCATTGAATACTCGGTATGTATTACTAGAACATTTCCATACTTTCAAGTTTCATCTTTATCTGGGAAGAGATTTTCTATCATTCTCTAAATAAGATTAGATGTCCCAAGGAAGATCAGCATTTTTTAATACAATTCCTCTCTTTTTATCATTTCCATAGTATCAGAAGTCAATTTTCACAATTTCATTGGGTCTTCGTGTTTCTGTGTCATTTCCAACGTTACGTATGACAATCAGCTAAGTGATGAAATTAGCTAAGGGAAGATGAAATTAGTTAAAGAGCTGCATAATTTCTCTCACTTTATTGAATTATCACTTTGAGTAGTCGTAATCATCTTGTCAAAAGTTTTCAGATGCATAAGTTTTATTAAATTTTGGTGAGTTTCTCTTACACCTAGCTGTTGAATGATATCACATACTTGCATAACGGCCATAGAATGTAAAACATTCAACGTTGATATTGAAGTAAATAATAAAGTTGAATAATTAAATAATTTTATTGAAGTAAATAATAAAATTAATTTAACTAAAATTGTTAATAATGAAATTACTTCGTGTAAGAAATTCCAAAAACCTGAAAGAAAATAAATGGTTAAATTTGAATATCTTTTATTAGCAGATCTGTTGAAATATTTGTATAGACTCTTTGTACATTAAATATGTCATCTTGCAATGACTTGCGACCTCGTATTATCGCAACAATCGAAGTATCAATCCGTTTTTCCAGTTTGACTCGTAATTTTTGGGTCATTCCGTTTTATTGTTTTCAGGCACTTTCCATGGGTGCAGCAAACTGGGATCGCTTTCCCAAGCCGATAACATCAAGAGAACACTTTATTAACGAATCAGCCACGAGCCCGTAGAAATTCTTTTAAAATAATATATAATAATAATAAATGAGTTAATAAAAACCCGCCCTACGATTCCTAATTAATACAATTCTGGCCTACGATGTTTCCTAGTTGAGAGAATCTGGACGTAGTGCGGTTCCTGGTTGAGAGAATCTGGACGTAGTGCGGTTCCTGGTTGAGAGAATCTGGACGTAGTGCGGTTCCTGGTTGAGAGAATCTGGACGTAGTGCGTTTCCTGATTTGAGAGAATCTGGACGTAGTGCGGTTCCTGGTTGAGAGAATCTGGACGTAGTGCGTTTCCTGGTTGAGAGAATCTGGACGTAGTGCGGTTCCTGGTTGAGAGAATCTGGACGTAGTGCGGTTCCTGGTTGAGAGAATCTGGACGGACGAAGATTCCTGGCGAATAGGCAATCTCCATTAATCTTGTTTCGACTCATGCCGTTTACCTTGTACATAAGGCGGCACAGTTTAGTTCCTGGATGTACACCATATTTGATCGTTGTGCATTCGCATACCTTTATCGCTGTTATATTTGCAGAAAATTATTGCCCTTCATTATCATTATTTAGCGCCGTGAAATTACAACTAATGGTGTTGCTTCGAGAAAAAAAAGGAAAGCCATCTCTATGGAAGTGAATTTAAACTTTCGTAAACGCTTTGGAAATGGAGAAACATCGACGAACATTGGCCGCCTGCGTGATTTATGTCATACGACTGTCGCTTCAAACATGTAAATATGTGAAAATATATTGGGTTTCCCTTTAAGAAATAAGGACATTTACCTGTTAAACTATGAGATGGCCATTTTCCGATATAAAAGAAAAAAAAATAAAAGTGGGTGTGTTGTTCTTTCTTCCCCAGATTTGCTGCTGGACTTAAGCTTCTCCAGCTCGTCTACCGAGATCCAATGACATTATTGGCAATAAGACTAAAATAATTTAATTTATTATATTTATTATTTTCATTTCATTACATGTATTTATATCCTCCATGGCTGTTTTAGCCTTAATTATGTTAACATGTCATAGAAATTTTTCTTATATCATAGACTATTACTTTAATATTGCGTTTTCATAGGTAGTGACGTAAATTCTTATTCACGGAAAATCGCGTTACAATGCATTATAAGTCGAAAGCACTGTGTATTTTGGTATCGTTAGATATTAACTTTATTAGAAAAAATTAAATAATATAATGGCAATATTATTGTTAATAAAATTTTATTACTGTTAATATTAATAATATTATTATTAATATTTTGTCTACGATATTTATTAATATTATTAGAAAATAGCTATTTTTTGCCCAGTTATCACTATTATAGATTACTTGCACATTTCTAATAGAAATTATGTCGATATGCTTTCTTCTTTTGCTCTTTTGAGAAAAAAGTCTAGGGTGTAAGTTTAGAGTAATCATTAAGCAATAGGATGTCAGCGAATATAATCCAGATTTCAGTTGAGGTAATGTGTTCTTTCGTACTTTTGCCCTTAGGAAGGCATAGAGGCGTTTTTCGATTGCGATGATTCACTACTGACCGGCCACGAAATATGGACAAGTAAATTTGGCAGAGTGAAAAATTTTATTTCCTCTTTCCCTCTACCTATCAGTCTGATTTCTTTACTCTCCGTGCAATATCACTTCATGAAGGGTGCGATCATGACTCGTTTCCTGTTTTCACGACTTTCCTTCCTTTCACTAATATTACTTCCTTTACAACCACTTTTTACTTTCTTTTATATTTACAGACATTTAAAAAAAACATCCCAGGAAAGGTAATGAAACTACTAGGACACAAGGGGTAATTGAGTGTTAGTATATATGAGAACAAAACTATTATTAAGGGTACCCCATACTTTCCGCTTTGTGCCACATCTAAGCCACGCTTGGAAAATCACTATATAAGAAAACTATTATTAATGAGAGAGGAAAATAAAAGAAAAAATATTAAGAAGACAGACTAAAAATTCACTGGAAGTTTTGAAATCAAAATTGACTGGGAAGTAAGAAGCCGGAAGGGTCCATTAGAGATAAGTACGATAAAAGAAATTGTTAGCATAGAACTTACTTTTATATCTAGCTATTTCAACTGTAACATGTTGAGACCTTTCCGCCAATCTAGTACTGCGCCTAAATTCATAAAGTCTTCGAAACATAGCAGAAATTTTATCAAGACTAATACGATAAACGATTTTTTTTATAGAAACGGTACAGGGAATCTATGTTATGGTGGTGGGAAATTCACTAGGTCCGAAACTTGCAGAACATTCTTTGGATTATATCAACAATCTCTAAATATATAGCAGGAGTACCAGACCAGATGTGGCAGTAATAATCAAACGAGGACGAATGAAAGACTTATACATATCTAAATAGATATATAGATTCTGACAAGAAAACTTGTCTCGCATGACATGGCGAGGCAGTTTTTTTAGCTGCAGACTTATCATTTGTTTCAATATATTCTTTCTACTTCATGTC